CTGAGTTTGAGACCACCTAGGGCTCCATAAGAATCTCCTGTTTCAGAGAGAGAGGGTGGGGGAATAAAGCCAGTCACAAGCTATAGAGCAGCCCTGGGAAAGTAAAGTCAGAGAGAGGAAAATAGTTGGTCCAGCCCAATTAGGGTTACATCCATCTGAAGGCTTTGTTGGAACTGGAGACTCCTCTTCCAAGGCAGTGCTATCTCATGACTGTTGGCAGGAGACATCAGTTTCCGACCACATGGTCCTCTTCATCAGAGCGCTTACACATCCTCACACAGCTGACTCCCCTGGAGTAGGTGAGTAAGGAAGGGAAATAGAAGCTGTAATATCTTTTGTAACCCAGCCTCAGGAGCCATACCTCACTACCTTCATAGCCTAATGAGGAGGCATGAACATGGGATTCAGGGGTCACTGGGAGCTGTCATGGAGGTTGGTTATGTTAAGATTGTATGTCAACTTGTAAGTTCTAAAAACGTATAATCGTATACATGATACAATGTATTTTGATTATGTCCATCCCTCACTACCCACTCCTGCACCTCCCAGACATGTCCCCCTCTTAACTTCATCTCTTCTTCTTCTTCTTCCTCCTCCTCCTCCTCAACTGACTGAGTACAGTTAGTGCTGCCCATACACACATGGGTGTAGGGCTATAGATGTATGTCCACTTTGTTGTCAAACATACTACTCATGGCACAAGTGGGCTCTAATTAATCAACTGCATCTCACTAACTCAGTGGATAAAGGCACTTGCCATTAAGCCTGACAATTTCAGTTCAGTTCCAGGAACCCATGTAATAGGAGCAAACAAACTCTCACAAACTGCCCTCTGACTACTTGCATGTTATGGCATGTGTGCATTCATGTGTATACATATATGCTACATGAACACAAATAAATATCACCCAAAAAAAGCCACAGGTTAGGCCATCTTGATAGGGGTCACTCTTGTAAGCATATGATCTGTGGAAGCCTATGCCTATATGGTGGTTACCAGAAAAAAAAAATATGAATGCCTTTAATTCCAGCAGTCAGGAGGCAAAAGCAGGCAGATTTCTGTGAGTTTAAGGCCAGCCAGTGAGACCTTGCCTCAAAAAGAAAGTGAAGGGTGGGGAGTGAGGCATTTAAGCTAGGCTGATTTCCAAATATGCTTGATAGGGATCTCATTGTATCTGAGCCATCACCTGTGGAAAAGACAGCTTGATAAACAGACTGCTGCTGCAAGGGCTCTCTTAGAAAGGGATGCCCAAATCTGCCCTGACACCAGTTTCATGTTCTAACATCCTCCCGGGGCGATGGGTTGAATCTGTGGCTTCTGGAGGTGATGTCTAGCATCTGTAGATAGAAGAATATCCTCTGCTGGGCAGCAGAACTCAGTATCTAGATAACCAAGGAGTGACGAGGTGGCTGGGACAGGCCCACCCTTCATGACAAAGTGAGTGACATAAATAAGACTACTGGAAAGTATGAGATTTTAATGCAAGGAAGAATCTGCATGAGGCATGTGGTACATGTGGTGGAAAGTCCCAAAACAAGCCAGTCAGTGATTTTCATGGAGGATTCAGTATATAGTCATCTGTGTGGCTATGTGTTACAGTGAAAAGGCACAAAGCAAAATCAACAGTGGGAAAAGTCACGCAGGGCCATATAGAAGCCAGTGGGTACAAACTTCCAAGAGTCCTTGCCCAGTGGAATCAGGCAGGATGCACTTCACCCTTCAGGAAATGGGTCATAACACGTGTGAAATGTTGATCTGAAAGCCTTTCAGCATCTCAGGGCTCAGAATCATGGCGGGGGGGGCGGGAGGGAGGGGATGATCATAAAGGCACTATCCACAAAGCATGAACCAAGACTGCAGACTCCCAAAAGGAAAGTAAGTACTCAACATTGCACTAATAGTCTACACAACAGTGAAATGCTTATTGGAGGCTCAAGAAACTGTCCTAAAATCCAAGGCTCTAAAGTGCAGCCTGCCTCCCCATGCATAGTAGGAACAATTGACTCTGAACAGAAGCAGCTCAGCAAAGGCTGAAGAGAAGCAATGCTTGGGACCAGTCTTGAAAACCAGAGCTGGCTGGATGTGGTGGCACACACTGATAACCCCACCACTCAGGAGGAAGAAATTGGACAGCCAGAAGTTCAAGCTCAGACTTGGCTACATAGTAAATTCAAGACCACCTTGGTGTACATGAGATCCTGTCAACAAGAAAGGAGAAGGGGGGCAGAGAAAGAGGCAAAGAGAGACAAAAAGATGAGACAGAAGCTTCCAGCAGAGGGAGCCTTAACAGCGAAGTTGGTGAGGTGGAGGCAACCCTGGGGAAGCATGGGTAGTTTGGGAGTGACTGCAAAGCGTATGTAGATGAAGCAAAGTGAGAGAGCCCAATTTTATGATGTTTTACTGTCTGTCTACCACTTGTTATTTTGCCTGTTCCTTTGTCTTGCTATGTACTTAACTTACTCATTTGGGACTCAAAATATGGTTATTGTAGATCCTTTTCCAGACTGTACATAACAATACGTCAAAATGGTTTCCCTCCGGCTATCTTGCCTTTCGTTCACCTAGTCAAGTTGGTACACAAGTTAGTCATCATCACAGTACCACTTTCATTATGCCACCTTCGTGAAATCTTGTCAAGGCATGGAGGGTATTATTGTGTAGAACCACCTGCTGCATAGAGAGCTAAGCAAAGACCAATATGTTCCGGTAGGATTGGGTTCTGTCCTTTTGTGGCCTCAGCATTGCAGTCTCTGTGAGTGCCAGAGAGTAGGAGAGACATTGCCACCCTAAGGAAGGTGAAGATCGGTGTCCTTCCAGGGAATGGCTGCGGTCTCCCAGGTTCACTCTGAGCCTGAGATAGACTGGAGATCAAAGCTACTGAGTGTCAGAGAAAGACAATCTCTGAGTCATGGCCAAAAACCATTCCTCCTGTCACCGTGGTGGTGGAGATGGGTGGGAGAAAACCACAAGCTGCATAAAGGAAGATCATAATCAGGCTTGAGTGCTCAGCTTGAAAGTCAAGAGCAGCCACTGGCAATCTGAGGTGAAAACACTTTTTTGTGTAAGGGGGAAAAAGTGAGACGGAGAGTGAAAATTTGACTAAGCCCACAGGAGGGCCAAAGCTCCATCATGGGAGTAGTCCTCTGATGACAGCCATCAAGAGAAGGACAATAGTTGACAAGAGAAGAATCAGACACAACAGATTATGGACAGGGTCTGCCATCCATTGCATTGTGAGGCCACTAACCTGCTCCAAGTCTTGGGATTATCATCAGTAAAATGAGGGATGTGGTCTGAGCAAGCTCCAAGTGCCTACCCAGCTCCTGTTTCTTCAGAGAATATAGAACCACTGAGCTGCAGAGCATCAGCAGCAAGGACATGCCTAGAAGTTTAGGTTAGCCCTAGAGCAAAGAGGATGAGTTAGACCTGGTCCAGATCCTCTGCACTTTCTAGTGGGGTGGCCGTAGGCACAGTACTTCTCTGTGACTGTCTTTCTTTAAAATTGAAAAGTGGGTGTTGCACGGATCTTAAAAGTTCTTATTAGTAAAATCAAACCTGGAGCTGGGTATTGGGGTCAATGCTGGAAGATCAGAGAAGCAGAGCAAGCCACAGCTACCTCATCTCTCCAGTTCCTCAGCTGATCCTGTTTCCTCAGACTGGAAGCCTCTGAGTTCTCATCCAAATGGATCTCAGCTGAACTAAAAGCCTAAAAGCTTAACCAGCTCTAGTTCCTGGTTTCCAAGCCTTATATATCTTTCTGCTTTCTGCCATCACTTCCTCTGATTAAAGGCTCTCTTCGTGGGATGAAAGACATGAGTCTCCATGCCTGGCTATTTACTCACAGAGATCCAGATGGATCTCTGACTTTGGAATGCTAGGATTAAAGGTGTGAGTGCCACCATTTTCTGGTCTCTATGTCTGTCTGGTGGCTGTTCTGTTCTCTGACCCCAGACAAGTTTATTAGGGTGCACAATATATTGGGGAACACATCATCACCACAAGTGGGGGCTAGGAAGATGGGTCCAGGAGTCAAGTGCTTACTATGCAAGCACAAGGAATTGAGTCCTAGCTCCCATGTAAAAAGGCGGGTGCAGGGGCTGAAGAGATGGCTCAGTGGTCAAGAGCACTTGCTCTTGCAGAGAACCAGGGTTCAGTCCCCAACACCCAAGTGATGTTCACAAACATCCGTAACTCTAATTCCAGGAAATCCAATTTCTTCTTCTGACTTTCAAGGATACCACACATGTGATATACATACACTTATGCAGGCAAAATACTCACACACTCAAACACAAAAATAAAATAAATCCTTTTTGTTTTGTTTGTTGTTGTTTGAGATAGGGTCTCACTATGCACCTCTGGCTGTCCTGGATGGAACTCACTATGTAGACCAGGCTGGCCTTGAACTCACAATGATCTGCCTTCCTCTCCCTCCTAAGTGCTAGGATGAAAGGCATGTGCCACCATGCTGAGTAATAAATATAAAAAATAAAAATAAATAACTTTTTAAGAAGCCAGACATAGTTTGGGGCAGGGTTGGCAGACAGATCTTTGTGGCCATCTGGCCAGCCAGTCTAGCCATAAGGGCAAGTTCCAGGGTCCTAGTGAGAGACCTCGTGTCAAAAACCAAGGTGAACTCTTCCTGAGGAATTACACCCAAAGTTGTCTTCACACACATTTTCAAACACCTACACACACACACACACACACACACACACACACACACACACACACACACACCACTAAATAAGTCAATGATAAAGTTGGAGAATAACAGCATTTTCTTTGCAGACTTTGTGAGGAAGAGTGAAACACTCTGTAGAACTCTCCCACAGAGACTTCAGCAACAATAGGTGCTTAATGAATGCAGACTGCTCAGATTTCATGTCCAGTCTTCCCTCCAAAAACACTTCAAGCTCCAGCTGCCAGCTCAGGCACCCCTGCCAGCAGCCTCCCCAGACCTAATCAGTACTGGACACCAAGACACAGCTAACAAATGGTGCAATCAGGGGGAGACCTGATGCCATACACAGGCCACTGCTCAGAGCAGCCAGACTCCCAGGCTCCAGACCCGCTTAGGGAACAGCATGTAGAAAGACATACTAATGAGGGTCAGAGAGAAAGGATCTTTCTCTGTGAAGTGCTGAGGAAGCCAGAAGGCTGGCTGGAAGCCCCTGGCACAGTTTGCCTGAGCAGTGTTGAATTGAATTGAGGTAGGCACCTTGGCAAGATGGAAGAAAGCAGGCCACAGATGGGACAGCCGGGGAGGTCCAGTGACGAGAGCCACAGAGTGAAAAGCCAGATACATTTCTTTAGGAAGCCATCGACTTGGATGGTAAGTAACTTTGATTCTTTAAATACAGTTTATGTTTAACACATATGTGCCTCATTCTGTTTGTGAAAATCTGTTGGCATATATATTTTATTTTCTGAATGAATCTAATATTTCCACTTATATATTTAATATATATAATGTATATAATGTATATATATATTATATAGGTATATTGTGTAATGTAGGAATCCTAATGCATGATACAATGACTCCCTCACCTTTGTTCAGTAATTTCAATCAATGTTTTTCAGCTTCTTTGCCCTCACTCTGCAATGTGACGCTGGTCCTCAATTGAGAATTCATTAATTAGCAAAGGAAAAGAAGAGAAAGGTACACTATTTTTGTCAAATATAATTTTTCTGCTTTTTTTTTTTTTTTGCTGATTTCATAAAGCAGTAAAAAACAGCCTTCAGAAAAATTTCTTAGTCACAGATCTTCACAATGAAAGTGTGTGACCCTAGTCAGAACCATGGAAGTGCAAGAAGGAATGAAGAAGAGCAGGAAGGGCAAGTCCGAGTGTGACATCGAGTGTGGCATCAAGCCAACTGTTAGGACACCTTGTGGAGTTGAATATAGGTACAGAAGTAGGACCTGTGACAGCTGCAGAGATGCAGAAGGGAATAACGACTGATAAAGTGTTCTACAGTTTTTAGCAATACTGAGAAATTAGCGAATGTAATCTTCAATAGTAGACAGAAATAAGTAAATAAGTCAACATTCCTGTGATGGTGTGAATGAGAAATGCCCCCATAGGCTTGGGTATCGGAGCGCTTGGTCCCCAGTTGGGGGCACTGTTTGGTAGGTTTAGGAGGTACAGTCTTGCTGGAGGAAGCACACCGCCGAGGGTGGGCTTTGAGAGGTATACCCTGGTCCCACTTCCATCATGATCTCTCTGCTTCCTGCTCAAGGCTGAAGATGTGAGCAATTGCTCCAGCCACCATGCTGGCCTGCCTGCTGCCATGTCTCCCTGCCATGATGAGCTCTGACCCCTCTGGAACCATAAGCTGAAATAAAATCTTTCTTCGGTAAGTAGGTTTTGGTCATGGTATCTTACCACAGCCACAGCAATATGTGATTTTATCGCATATTTTATCACAGCCACAGAAAAGTAACTAATGCAATTACATATTGTTTAATTGCTGGGATAATGGTTAAAGGGAAAGAATGCATAACAAAAATGAGGGAGAAAAAGAATAAAACAGTAGGAAATGTTGATCCAAAAGAAAGGAAGAAAATCTAAATAAAGTAGGTGGTTGAAAAAGAAAATACATTAACTGTCAACTGTAGGTTGTTGTTTTTATTTTACTCTTTAGGGGCCCACCACCCAGCTCCCAAATAAGCACATGGAGACTTATTCTTACTTATGAATGCCCAGCCTTAGCTTGGCTTGTTTCTAGCCAGCTTTTCTAACTTAAATTAACCCGTTTCTCTTCTTCTACATTTTGTCTCTGGGTTTTCTTTTTAACCTTTCTTTATTCTATGTGTCTTTCTTCCCTTCTTACTCTATGGCTGGCTGGGTGGCTGGGTGGCTGGTCCCTGGCATCTTCCTCTACTTCTTTTCTCGCTCCTCCCTTTTCTTCCTCCTACTTATTCTCTCTGCCTGCCAGCCCTGCCTATCCTTCTTTCCTGCCTAGCTATTGGCCATTCAGCTCTTTATTAGACCAATCATGTGTTTTAAACAGGCAAAGTAACACAGCTTTATAGAGTTAAACAAATGCAACATAAAAGAATGCAACATATCTTTGCATCATTAAACAAATATTTCACGGCATAAATGAACATAATGCATCTTAAACTAATATTCTACAACAGTCAACTTTTCAGAAACTAAAATCACCTGGAACCTGGGCCTTTGGGCATCTTGGCTGTGTTAACCAAAGTAGGAAGATCCACCTACGTGGGTGGCACTTTTGCCTGGCTAGGAGGATGGGGTACCAGACAAGATGTGGAAGCTCTATATACCATCCCCCACACTTTGTGTTCTACATTCCTTCCACTTGGCTGATTCTAAGTTGTCCCCTTTATAATAAATCGGTAACCGTCAATAAAGTGATTTACTGATTTGTTCTAGCAAATTGCCAAACCTGAAGTGAGGTGTGGAGATCCTGAGATCTTGAGCCAGTTGCTCAGAAGTAAGAGTTTTCCAGGGGTTGTGACTGGCATCTGAAGTGGGTGGCAATCACATTGGACTAGGTTCTTTTTTTTTTTTTTTTTTTTTTTGGTTTTTCGAGACAGGGTTTCTCTGTGTAGCTTTGCACCTTTCCTGGAACTCACTTGGTAGCCCAGGCTGGCCTCGAACTCACAGAGATCCGCCTGCCTCTGCCTCCCAAGTGCTGGGATTAAAGGCGTGTGCCACCACCACCGCCCGGCTGGACTAGGTTCTTATGCCTACCGTACTGATGTGAACTCGGTAGCATCAAAACTGGACTGAATTAAATGGTTTCCTAAGGGAGGAAAAATAACTCTCACTTATGAGAACAGATGCAGCTGAGTGGGGTGGGTCAGGCATGTAATCCCAGCACTGGGGCAGGGGGGAGTCAGAGGCAAAAGGATCACGATTTTGAGAGACCAGCTTAGACTACATAGTGAGCTTCAAGGCAGCCAGTACTACATAGTGAGACACTGTCCCCAACACATGCAGAAACACCTATACACACACACACACACACACACCCCTACACACACACACACATACCTACACACACACACACTCCTACCACACACACACACACACACACACACTATGAGTACAGATGCAAAATTACAAATAAAATATTAGTAAATAAAACCAAGCAAACATCTTTATTCCTGGCTTTATTCCAGGAATGCAAAAGTAATTTAATGTTCTAAATTCAATCAAGCTGTTCTGAGGGTGTAGCTCAGCCACAGAGTGCTTACTTGGGCACGCTTGAGCCCCAAGTTTCAATCTCCAACACTGAAGAGAAATAATTACCCAAAATAATTCATCACACTGGTTGTCTTAGTTAGGGTTTCTATTGCTGTGAAGAGACACCATGACCATGGCAACTCTTGGAAATAAAACTTTCAATTGGGGTGGCTTGCTTAGTTTTAGAGGTTGAGTCCATTGTCATCACGACAGGAAGCATGGCAGCATGCAGGCAGACACGGTGCTGGAGCTGAGAGTGCTACATCTTGCAGGCAACAGAAAGTCTACTGACTCACACTGAGGGAAACTTGAGCAAAAGAGACCTCAAAGCACTCCCCGACAGTGACACACTTCCTCCAACAAGTTCACACCTACTTCAACAAGCCACATTCTAATAGTGCCACTTCCTTCGGGGGTCGTTTTCTTTCAAACCGCCACAACAGTAGAAAAATAAAATAAAAATCGTCTTGATGGATGCATAAAAACAATGGGGAACGTGATTCTCAAGAGATAGCAAGCAGCTCTTCTCCCTCTGAGAGTTCTGCCCCTGCAGTGAGAATTCGGGAGAAAACTGTTTTGAGGCTTACCTTACAGTCAAATAGCCTGCTATGCTTGTAAGGGACCCTGGTTTCCAGAACCTTCTGGCTTTGCACTGTGACTCCTGTTGCTGGATGTCTTTTCCGGACACCTCATTTGCAAGATAAAATATAAGAAGCCTGGCAAGCTGGCATCCGTTATAACATCAGGTACCCTGGTAAGTCATGGGGTGGGGGTGGGGGTATGTGCAAGCATGAACCAAGGTTGCAGAAGATAGAATAGCTCAATGAAGATCTCGGTGATGTAACTGGCAGGACTGAGGTGTGAACACAGCCAGTCTGGCTCTAGGATTCATATCTCCTGACCATTCTGTCACTGCTGAGCATGAAGTGTCAAATGGACCTAAGTCAGACACACTGCAAAAGCCCAAAGGGAAGGGATTAATCGTCACTAGGGAAGGGCTGGTTCTGGGAGACTTTAAGAAAAGTAGCGTTCGGGGCCTGGGTAGATGGCTCAACAGTTAAGAGCACTGGCTGCTCTTGCAGAGGATCTAGGTTCAGTTCCCAGCAACCACATCAGGGGGCTCACACCCACCTGTAATTTCAGTTCCAGGGGATATGATGCCCTCTTCCAGCCTCCACTGGCACCTGCATGTGTGTGGTGCACATAAACACATGCAGACACACATAAATAATAAGTATTTTAAAAGGAAGGAAGGAAGGAAGGAAGGAAGGGAGGGAGGGAGGGAGGGAGGGAGGGAGGGAGGAAGGAAGGTAGGTAGTAACATTTAAGCAGGACCTTAAAGGGAGAAAGGCTTTCTCTATTTGTTGTTTGGGTTTGTTTGAGACGTGCTTTCTATGTAAGCCAGAATGTCCTGGATCATACTCTGAAGCCCACCACGAGCTGGCCTGAGACTCACAATCCTCAGCCTCCTACATGCTGGCATTTCAGGTTTGCGCCCCATGTCCCACAAAAGACAGCGATTTTAACTGGCAGAAAATGAGAGTCTTAGTCAGGACAGACTAGGTCATGCTGTGGTAACACAATTGAATGCCACAAAGGTTAATTTCCCTTTCGTAAATGCTAATCAAGTTCAGCAACACCCAGGTCCTTCCCTGGATGTCATGCATGACTCAACCATTCAGGGCGCTACCACCAGTGTCCCTCGTTCCACCATGCGTACTCCTGATCACAGAGCCAGGAAGAGGGAAAAATATGGACAATTTATCCATCAGGGCATGAGTCTGGAAAACACACACACACACACACACACACACACACACACACATATAGCCCTAACTTCTGCTCATGACCCACCTATTCTAACAGAGCATGTGGAGCGTTTGGTGAGAATGTTCAACTTCTCCTACTGTGGAAAGGGCTCTTCTAAACTGGAGAGGACATCATGCCCTAAGGCATAAAGGGATGGCAGTGTGCATGGAAACAGCGACATATTGGTACACAACAGGATTTAGTGTTGTTCCATAGGCAACCGGAAGCTGAAGAGGGAGGTGGGATCTTCATAATCTGCCTCTATGTTGGTGGTGGTTTTTATTTGTCCTTTGTTTTATTTTTGAACATTGAGACAGTATCTTAGAAATCCCAGGTTGGCCTTGAACTTGCTGTAGCCAAGGATGACCTTGAACATCTGACCTTCCTATCTCCACTTTCCAGGTGTTGGAGGTACAGGTATGCACCAGCAATCACCAGCAAGCTCATTTATACAGTGCTGGAGATGGAACCCAGGGCTTCATGCATGCTGTGCAAGCATTCTACCAAGTAAGATACATTCCCAGCCCATGGTTTGCCTTGCTTTGGAAGATTCTAGAAGGTAACAAAAAGAAGGGTGTGCAGAAGTGGCAGGCCAGAGCATGTTATAGCAACAAACCACCTAGGAAGCACTGGAAACAGGTGAACGAGGCTAGTGTCTAAGAACTTGAATTATGTGGGCGCTCTTAGGTTTGAGGACCAGACATAATTTGTGAAAAGCAAGAGGACATGACTTTGAGATTGACTCCCGCCCTGCCAAGCAGACATTGGTAGCAGCAGCCAAAGCAGGTGATGCAAGAGAAATGCCCTATTTGGAAAGAGCCATCAGGGTGTGCTCTGAAGCTGGGAGGCGTCTACAGAAACATCTAGGAAATCTCCCTCATCCTGTGAGGGAGGGAGGAAGGGACTCCCAGGACGACATAGCAGACACAGAGGGATAAAGAAAAGTGTTGTCAGGGTGCACGCAGGAAGCTAGGTGGAGGACAGTCTCTCCTTGTCCGTGGCGTCAGTCCTTCCTACCCCCTCAGAGCCACTTCCTGCTGCCTGACCCTCTCCACGCTGTGATATGGGAACAGTGGTGGGGAACCGCACATGCCCTAGTACGTGACTCTGTAGGGAGGAGTTCACACGTGCGCGTTGGAAGCATTTTAGCACGTGCACCGTGCACCCACTTGCTTAGATCTAGATGTCACCCAAATGGGTGAAAAGGAATACGAGGCTAAAGTGGCTTCGGTGTTTGTAAACCTTCCCCTGCTATGAGGGGAGGGTGTGATACATAGTGAAAACCAGACCCGCCAGACCAGAGGGACAAGACTAAACTTTGAATAGATCTGTTGCCTTTGTCCTATGTGGGGCATTTACCCACCAACCCCACAGCTCCCCAGAGTTTTCTTGAGTGCGAGCAGCAGGAAATATTAGATAGAAGGATTTATTGTGGAGATAAACAGATAGAAAATAAAGGATAGCCTCGAGAGGGCCTGGAACCTTTTCCAACGGGCCCGGACTGTCTCTGGCCCAGGGTTTTTATAGAGATGCCAAGGGGTGGAGCAAAAGACCTCCTCCCCCAGCACAGCCAAGTGCAGGCCATCTCAGACACCTGCACTCAGGCCCGCGGTCCTAATCATCCTCCATGTGGACCTGCTGGGTAAAGCCACGAGGAACCGAGAACGGACTCCCACAGTCCTAGTTCTCCATTAAAAAGAGAGAAAGAAAAGGGAGGGAGGCTGAGGCAGATTTCACTCTGACTTCCAGATTGCCAGAACTCTGAATAAAACCCAGTTTAAAGATCCACTTTCTGGTGTGTTTCATGCATGCAATGGGAAGGGCCCACTACTTGTACCAGAGGGCCCTTCTAAGGTAGCAGCTCTCTCTGTTCCTGTCAACAAAACCTAGAGCTATGGAGACCAGCTGCTCCCTCTGATTTCACTGTTGCAAGCTTACTGTCTCCCTTTAGTTCACCATGCTTCCACCTACCGCTACATGAACCTTCCAACTCACCGCGCCCTTCTAACATGCAAGCATGCACCAGTGATCTGAATGACATCAATGGTTTCCTAGCCTTGGTGAGCCGAGAAATAGAAAGTGTCAGTCACTTGACTACTCTGAACCTCAGTATTTGCATCCACTGGGGAGGGGGAAATGAACGCCTGCCACCTTTTTTGAAAGGTGGCTGTGAAGAACAGATGAAAATAATAAATGTGGCCAGATGTGGTGACAGAGGGAGGAGATGGGAAAATTGGGAGTTGGGGCCAGCCTGAGCTATGTAGTATTGCCCTATAGGGCAGGGAAAGAGAGGAGGGAGTGATGAGTGATAAGGATTGAGGGAGGAAGAGAGGGAGAGAGGAGGGAAGGGATGGACAAAGACAGGGGAGATAAGGAAAAGGGGGAAAGCTCTCAGCTAGATCACCTTATCCACAGAGACTTAACCCAATGCTCCTTTGGGATCTACCTCGGGGATTGCAGTAAGTAAGCAACATGATGTCTGTCCTGCCCGCCCTCTCCCCACTGCCCCTCAAGCTGGGTGGCAAAGCCCCAGGACAAAGAGAAAGGACTGACACAGGACACAAGATCAAGTGTACCCCCTGGGTACAGTTCCAGATTGCACAGGAGGCCCCAGGGGCAGTGGGCATAGGATGGTCAAGAACACTTCCTGGAGGAAGAAGTGGATTTTGAAGGTTATTCAGGAGACGAAGGAGAAAAGAGGAAGATGTGTTCTGACCCAGTCAGAGGGAAAGAGTAACCCAATGTAGCAGAGAGCTTAGCGGAACCAATCTTACCCTCTGTCTCATCCAGCCTGCTCCTGAGGCAGGAGGGAGAAGGCGCAGGGGGGGGGGGGGACTAAGGGGGGGGCTTGCTCTAAATCAGCGCTAAGAGGTATGAGTTCCTACCTCAGGATTTCCTGTCAGACCAGCATTTGCTACTGACCAAACCATCCAAAATCACATGTACAGGGAAAGCTGCTGCAAAGGACAGCCACCCACTCACTCTCCGACACAGCACCAGCCCCTCAGATGGCACGCAAGCCCCGCCTGGCCTCCTCATGCAAGACTAACTACATGTATTATCTGCCGGGACACTTTCTTGGCTCCCAGAATTGTTTGGAACAGAAACTATTCACTGTGGCTCCGTGTGGAGCTGTGGTCCCTGGCCTTCTGTAGTGTCAAGGCTCATCTCAGGCCGCTGACTCAAGTCATGGGATCCACAGCAAAGAGACCACCATGGTTGTTGGGGGGGGGGGTCTACACAGTGGCCACTGCACCTGGGAATGTCCAGGAGACGTCACCAACTGTGGGGTCACTCCTACCACTACAGCCATCTGTCCCTGCCTCCCCAAGACAGACAGGCAGACACACACACACACACACACACACACACACACACACACACACACACACGATAAATAAATGTAATAAATGATGTTGAGCGTGGCAGTTCATCCTGTAATCTTAGCACTCAGAAGTCAAAGGCCGAAGGATCAAGTGGTCAAAGTCTGGGAGGTGGCAAGATGGCTCAGATGTGAAGAGTATTTGTTGCTCTTCTAGAGGACCAGGATTTGATTCCCATCACCCCCATGGAGGCTCACAATCATCTGCAACTCCAATTCCAGGGGATCTGCCACCCTTTCTGGCTTCTGTGGGCACTGAACATGCCTGTGGTACACAGACATACACACAGGCAAAAGACCCATACTCATAAAATACAAATAAATATTTTTTAAAAAGAGTTCAAGGTCATCCTTAGTCCTGTATTGGCGCTCATATAATCTGGGCTACATGAAACACTGTTATCGGAAGAAAGAGAAGAAGACGGAGAGGAGGAGGAGGAGGAAGAGGAAGGGGGCATGGGGGAAGTGCAAACACCAACCAAATTACCATAAATCAAAAAATGCAAAAAGTGTAACTGCACCCCCAGATCTGAAATGGTCTTGGCAAGGTGACCTTGGTCATCTCCTTTGTTTGCTTCAATAACAGAAGGAGGCCCAGCTTGGTTTTAAAGCTCCCTGAAAGGGGCACTGCTGAGGCCTGTCACGAGGCACAGTGGCACTCTCCACCCTTCTTCATACAGTTGTCTCACGTTCCCCTACCACCCGGTCCATTGAGTAGATCACAGCTTCCTGGTTCTCCGAGAATCATGAATTACCCACAATTCTTTTCCAAAGCCACAGCAAATGCAGCAAGGAAGCGATCACCTGCAGCCCCCTGTGGCCCTACTCTAGGCCTAGGGTGTCCCCTGTCAGTTTCCATCTGAGCGAGGCACAGCACTGAGCACGTGTAAGAACCCAGGCAGTAACCAACAGTCTCCTTGCTGCCCCATGCTCACAGCTGCCTTCTGCTTAGCTGTCACTCTTCATAAGACCTCAACGATTGGAATTTTCCTCTAAACCAGGGAGGACTCTCTGGGGACCATCATAATCATGTACTTGGCAGTGGACGATATAAAGAATGATCCAAAACCACTGTGCTCTCTTTTCCAGTAGACACACATCCTACCACCATTCATGGCTCACATGACCAAATCCAAAAGGCCCAGTAGCTGGATCCAGAAACATCTGCCATTCCTGCCGCATCCCCAATACCAAGTTAATGTGTGTCTCAAGTCTCCCAGAACCTTCATCCAGAAACAGAACTTCCCACTGGACACAGCTCTGTGGTTCCAAGCAGGAACTGGCCTGGAAAAGGTTCCTTGGGACATCCATAGTTCTTCTTCATGCCACCTTCCTGCATTCAGAACACTCTCACACCCTTTAGGATCTAGGGAAGCCACTCCCGGCTCCTTCTGAATCCATTCTTGGCACTCCATACAAGACAAAGTAAACATCTGTCCTTAAGCACTTCCTTTATCCTCGGGGTGTCCGTGGTGGCACCTCGTGCCTGTTTGCACTGTCAATGACACAAAGTAGAATCACCTGAGAAGAGGGAACCTCAACCGAGGCTGGCCTGTGGACATAATGATGGGGTATTTCCTCGATTGATGGTTGATGTGGGTGGGCCCATTCCACTGTGGGCACTGCCCCAGCTGGGCAGGTGGCACTGGGTAATATAAAAAAGCAAGTTGAACAAGCCACAGGGAACAAACCAGTGATCGGTAGGAAATGTGGTACAAAAAGCTCCCTAGAAAGGCCACCTAATAGAGAAGGAAGCCTTATATTTCTCCCGTCGCTCCCTTCCAGGTCATCTGCAGGCTGACACTCGGGGTGTTCACTCCTTGGCACTCTGGACAAATGCATCACAGTGCTATTTCTAGAGACCGAGTCACCCCCTTTGGGCAGGGAGGCTCCGGCCAGATGCTAACTAACACTATCTACACTGCCCACCTCCAGCCCTGCCATTGGCTGGCCCACAGAGCCTGGCTTAGTCACAAAATGGGCACATTTGACAAGGGACATCTAAGGGTCTTGGTGGTGGGACCCAGTCCACAGTCAGTCTATATCACTCAAGGCTGGGCACTGTTAAGCTGCCTTAGGTGGGTCTCTCTAGCCTGGAACGTCTTTAAGAAAACAGTTACCCCCACTCACTGCCTCGCTGGTCCCTGAGCACATTGGCTGTCTAAGAGGAAATAGCACAGGATGAGGTTGAGAGAGGACCTAACCTTTAGACTCAAACCCAAACAAGCTGATCCAGAAAGTGGAAGACGGCGACCATGGCCTTCTAAGTTGGGCCGGTATTGTGGTCAACATGTGAACAGTGTTTTTACTCTCAAATATCACAGGGCCAGAAATGGCAACATATGGGTGTTATGAAATTCGCACGTGGGTGTCTGGGTACCCGTCTCTGAGTCTGTGGCTGGTGGCAGGCTCTGCCTTTCCTACATTCTGCACAGCAGGTCCTGATTCTTCGGGACTAAGAGGCAGCTTTGGAAACCTATACAGTGTTTTTATCAAGACACTGCCAGTCAGTACCATCAGTCAGGGAGGACCGACCTGAAGGAATGCCCTCTGCCTTGCCCTGTCTTCTTCGGACACTCCACAGACTGGATCCCCTCCCACCTGTCAGGAGGGCCAGGTGAGGACCTTGCAGGACAGCACCCTTGGGCTGTACTGTGGCCTTGGTGCTGATAGCCACCCCGAGTCCTGGATGAATTTATGACCACAACAAGAATGGGAGAGAAAGGGGAAAACTCCCAAGTTCACAAGCCAGCTTGGCCGGCCCCAGCCTGGACTTGAACCCCGAGGGACAAGGCCATGGCTAGAGCAAAGCACCTGGAATCCACTGCAGCTCATCAGCTAGCGGCTCCGCCCGTTCTTTATCAAGCCCTGAGCGCAGACTCACGCTGCCACCAGGGGGCGGCGTCCGGCTCCACCTGGACCCTGTAAGGAAGCGAAAAAGGTCTGTCCCGAGGAGGATTGAGCCTTGAGCCACACCCCTGAAGTCTGGGAAAGTGAAGGCAGTATGTGAGTAGACTTTGGCTCCCTGGCTAGCCTCTCCCCAATTATCTAAACTTGTCTGTATCCTC